TCTGAAGGCCGGCCGAGTTCACGAGACCCAGAATTCGAGGCAGATGTTTTGGAACATTTTCTCGGCAATCCAAAGACAAGTACTCGTCGTGCTGCGGCAGCCTTTGGTGGTGTGAACCATATGAGTGTGTGGCGTGTGCTACGGGATGATAGCCAGCACCCATACCATTTTCAAAGAACGCAGGAGCTGTTACAAGCGGACTATGATCTACGTTTGGCATTTTGCCGCTGGTACCGCGACCAGGTTGGGAGGTCTCCCGACTTCGCTTCGTCGGTACTGTGGACAGACGAGGCGTCATTTACGCGTGCGGGCATTATCAATATGCATAATGAACATTTTGGACTCATTTGAATCCCCGCGTATCAAGGGAATCAAATTTTCAACACCAGTGGCGGATTAACGTGTGGGCTGGTATAATAGGTTGTGCCGTCATCGGTCCAGTGTTTTTGCCGGCAAGTCTGAATGGGGCCAATTATTTAAGATTCCTAACAGAAGACTTGGATGACGTTCTGATGGCCCTGCCAGTGACACAATACGTGAGACTGTGATGGAACACGGGATGACTTTCTAGCACGATGGAGCACCCGCACATTTTGCTCGAAATGTACGTTCCCATCTGAACGACCGTCTCCCGCAGTGGATTGGGCGGGGAGGTCCTGTACCCTGGCCAGCGTGGTCCCCAGACTTGACACCGCTCGATTTTTTTTGTGGGGTCATATAAAAATATTGTTTATGCGGAGTCCTGTGAAAGCGCAGAAGAAATGAGGCAGCGGATCGAAATGGCGTTTAGTCAAATCACTCGGCAGATGCTTCAAAGAGTAGAGCAGTCTCTGTACCGACGCACGGAAATATGCATATTGCATGGAGGTCGGCATTTTGAACCTTACCTGTAAATGTGTGAAATGTGCCAGCAGTGCGTGTAGTGATTGTACTTATTATTCAAAATTATCGTAAACAAGTCAATATTTCGTACATTGTACAACAGTGAATTACAATTCGTAGGAAATTCATTAAAACGTGTATGAATTGCACAGTAGGTAAGTACCAATTAAAAAAGTATCCACTATTGTAAAATTGTCGTAAATAAATGTATTAATACAAAATTATGTAGAATGTGTATACGATGAAGGCGTGCGTAACTACGGGCTTAATAAGTAAATAAATATCCTTTAAATTGTATGTAAATAAGTACGTACCTGTATGGCATAAAATAATATTGTTAGAAATAATTCGATTTTTCTAGGTATTTAAAGATTTTGTTACTTAATATTAACGTGTTATCAACATATTCAAATCATGTTTTTACAGTGGCATTTCAATTGTAGTCAGCTGTCTTTCGCCCCGCTTGCGGCCGCCCAGGTTTCATTAATGAATTTGTGAAGTCGTAGTAACGTAACTAGCAATAGAGTTGTGACGCAGTGGTTGTTTCGGACAATCACTATTTATACAAACATAATTAAAGTTATATCAACATTAAAAGTCACTTATTTTTATTTGATATTTTGCACAGAGGGTCTAGATCAAGTATAGGTTTGGCTCCTTTAATATGACTACACCTTGCGGTTACACCCTGTATATTAGTATTAAATGCTGTATTACTGATTGTTATTATTATTATTAATAATAATACGATTATGATTTATATTCGCTTTTTAACATACAGTTATTATTTAATTTCTTTATCTACATTACACACACGCATTTATTAACACAAATGCGCACTACACAAACTTCCCATCGTTTATGCTTTCCATGCACCGCATCGTGCCAACCTCGTAGATAGCTATATCGTAGATAGCTGTAAATCAGTATTTTGCTTTTAGGCAAAACCTGCATTGACCTATGATCTATTTGGCTTACTGAAGCACACACAAGTTGCTGATTATTATTCATTAAGCACTGGCTGTATTTTATGTATTATAATTTAATTTCTTGTTGTTTATAATAATAATAACGCACACACTTAACATAACTCCGCACTCGGGAAACCCTGTGCGCGGGTGCCATGGACACACACATAGGCAACCACAACTTACGCCCAAACTCACGAGAGAAATAAATGTAGGCCATACAAATAACCACCGTTTTGGTCGCTCGGCCACGGAGGTAGTTTTGCTTGTATTATTATTGTTTGTTTGTATGTGAGAACACTCACTGTTAAATTTGATTTTTGTTTGTTTCTAAATTAATCCATTTATTGTATTATATTATTGTTTGTGTTTAAAGCAAAATGACAAACATTTTATCTATCTATTTACGTAATTTGGTTATTCATTTATAACCTTCGTACAAATTATTATAATACAGATACAAGTATTCATATACATGGGAATTGTTTATGGTTATGAAAATATATCAAACAACCTTATGGACTTTTATTTATCAACCTATTTAATCTTGTATAAAACTGAAAAGACTGTAAAAGTTACAACATTCTATTAGTAAATAGACCAGTTCATATTCTTCGTACAAATGACTTTCACTTGCATGCACTTTCTGTGTTGTATTGTTGTAGAAAGTCGTCTCCTGATGCTGTCCAGTCAGTGGTATGTTCAGAACTGCCTTCGTCGTCTTTTGTCCGAAGGAAAGTCGCTCTAATTTTTAATTTCTGCCAGTGGTGTCGGTTTGTCTGTGTGATCAGTAACTCTGCTGATTATCCATGTAGGCTAGACATTCATAAACTCCGAGACTGAATAAGTAGTTACATGCTGTAATATCTTAGAACAAATGAGGTGGAACGCGGACAATGCTGCTATCTATTGTCTGCTTCAGGAAGAAATTTGCCTTCAAATTTATCGTTTGAGAAATATTACTAGATGGCTCTGCTGTATCGTGAAAAAAACGTCAAAATTTATCATTTTCAAGTTATACGATAAAAGCATTGTGTAAATATAATAAAACTTGTTTTAGACGATTAAATATTCTTAGAAGTAAAAATGCGTAGCTCTCTTACGAATGGGTACAGATTATAGTTCTTTTGCATGGCCACACCGACGCATGCCCATATCATTCAAATGTCAGTTTTGAAATTTTTCTTAGGAAATTATTTTCGGTTGTTGAGCACATCCTGCTATTTTCTTGGGTTGTGCGTGTTTTCACGGTGTTATCTCTTTCCAGTAGGTTGAGTTGAACTTTGTTTCTCCACCCGGACGTGAAGATTGTTGTAAAACACTAATTGTAAATGTTTTCCATCGTGTTATTGAAATCGATTACGATGGTTCGACAATTTTGTTGTGTACCAAGTTTTAGTAATTAGGGTGTGCAAGCCACTTTTTGGGATAAAAGTGACGAAATTAAACAGGCAACTCGAAATTATTATATAACATAAAACAAGTGTTGTTGTTTTCAAGTTTTTTTTTTGTAATCAGCATCATCAACAGCCTATCGTAGTCCACTGCTGAATAGACCTCTCCCAATGCACACCATTTCGCCCGGTCCTAAGCTCGTTGCATCCATCTGGTGCCAGCAGCCCTTCGCAAATCGTCACTCTATCTGGCCAGGGGGTGTCCTACACTACGATTGCCGAGCCGTGGTCTCCACTCAAGAACTCGCTTCCCCCATGGGTTATCGGTTCTTCGACAGATATGGTCAGCCCACTGCCAATTCAGCTTGCATATTCTACCAGCAGTGATGACGACCTTGGAACTCTATCGGCTAACCTAGTTCCGTACCTTGTCCTTCAAAGAAACTGTCCACGTCTCGGCTCCGTATGTCACAGGTAGAATGCACTGATTACACGGCAATGCTTTTGTAATCATGAAAACAATAATTTAAGAAAATATTATAATAACTTAGGAAATGAAACTATTTTTCCGGATTTAAATCAAGTAATCAATTTATGCTATATTAAGTTTTACAAATTATTTTATTGAATGAATTTTTATTAAGTTTAATTTATTATTAATTTATAATAGAAATTAGAATAAACTAAAACACATTAATTAGTACTGCAGTCCTATGTCTGTTTGGGATTTTTCATTAGAGGAAATACTGGATCCCAAACTGGTGGTACGGAGAAACCATCTTCCCTGTTGAAATTAGGATGTTTTTTAATTTCAATGGCCTCTCGCAGCATCCTGGGTAGATAACGGACTTCTTTTGCAAGGACCTGGGGTTTGTCAAACTTCATTGAATGTGTAGGTTTATCCATGATATGCTCGCAGACTGCAGACTTGTTTACGCGACGGTGTTTGACATCAGCTATATGTTCTTTGACGCGGGTATAAATATTTTGCTCCGGCTTAAATCCGGAAAAATAGTTTCATTTCCTATGTGTAACAATCGCGAAAACCTAAGAACTCGATATTATAATAACTTGTTAATAGGGCTAATTATCCTACATACAGGTATAGGTACTAATTATAAGTATACATACATCTTTAGTTTAGCCACTGAAAATTAGATACTAAAGAGTTCGTGTGCATTATAATATTAATGGTTATTACTTCGCTCTACTGGTATCGAAAATGCTTTGTCGACAGCTATCGAGATTGATATCAGTATTTGCAATTATTAAACAAATAAGTCTCAGGTTCGATTCCCGGTAAAACAAATTTGGGAAATTAACTTTTCTAAATTGTTTTTTTTTCTGGATGTTTTAGATGGTACCGTTGAGTAACATTCGTTGCTCTAGTATTCATAGTACAGGAAGTTCCCTAGTTTTAGCAGGTTTGAGTTAAACAGTTAATGTGATTGTGTGGCACTTCACATTATAGTTAAAATACGTAAACATCACAAGCTGTTAAATATTGTTCCAATAGTTTATAATACTTAGGTATTCAGGCGTAAGCTAGGCTGAGTTGTTGAATTTCATGTTTCTAAAATTAAATATTGTTACAAAACTAGAACAAAAGTACAGTTGTAGCAAAACCAACAGCGCACTGCCACACGCGAACACGACCAAAAGGAAAATAATTTAAAGACAAAATTGTTTATTTTCTGTGTACGAGTATATTATAAGCAAACAATCCGGAATTGGCATACTAACTAATTTCCCGTAGTATTCCTTGTTGCAGACGGTGGTGGAGGCCTGTCAAAAGAAGAGACAGTGCAAATTTCACACTAGTCCCAAGGCGTTTGGAGTTGACCCGTGTCCAGGATCAAGAAGATTCGTTGAAGTCGCATATAAATGCCGTCCTTGTAAGTAAATCTAGTGAACAGCATACGAAAACCACCAACATTAATATCTACAGGGTGGAAAAAATCAATGGGACATGAAGGGTACCTTGAATACTTAACGTAGCTAATTTAACTTAAAGGGAAACATTTTTTTAATTTTCTTAATATGAATAATGCATTTGTAAATTTTTTGAAACACTTACCTGAGCCGGGAATCGGAACTACCTAAAAATGTATTTAAAGACCTCCATGAAACCTTATTAGAATTTACATTAGATTACATGGACTTCTTAAACCGTAAGACCCAATGTTTATTGGAGAGATTTTATCCATAACATTAATTATTCTGTCGATTAGTACAATAAAGGTGTGAGTGTTATTTTTGGAATTTTTAATTGGTTACATTCCCGGCTCAGGTATCCACGCTTTGAAAAATTCTGTGAATGCATGTATTCATATTAAGAAAAACAAAAGAACGTTTACGAACGTTTAAAAAATGACGTTTTCAAGTGTAAAAATATTACCTATGGAATAAATGATTATTTCACTTTGACTTCGTTTCCTTTAAGTAAAGTTAGCTATTTTAAGCATTTAAAATAGTTTCTCTTCATGTCCCATTGACTTTTTCTACCCTGTATAGTGGACATGACTGGAACGTACGTATGGCAGTTACTTCACTTTTACTTACTTATCTACCTGCTAAGGATACCCAGTATATAGTGTGCCTGCTATGAAATGTGTATTTTGGTTTTAATGATAGTAAAATGTCAATGATAATAAATACATTTGATACGGTCAAAGGCGCTATTATTGACATTTGACGTCAATGTTTGAATATTGTCAAAAAAAAAAGCAACTAATTCTTTTAACGTGTGTATGCGTGGGTGCGTGCGTGTGTTTATGAGAGTACGTACCTACATCGATTTTAAGCTCTGAGTGGTACTGCAACTGCTTTAGACAGGTTTAACACCAGGCGCACGCATGATCGTTTCGTCACTAGCTACCATAAAAAAAAATCACAATATAATATAATAGGGCAGAATACTTACTTATTGCGCTTGCTTTAGCAGACGTAAATTTATTAAGACTTTTATAAATTTAATAAATGTGACGTAATATGAGATAAAAATAATTCAAGAAATTACATTTACAGTATTTTTGCTGTGTTTAGTTTAATGTGATCATGAAAAAGGGGTTTTATACTTTTAACCAATATATTTAAAGGCGACAAAGGGATATTTTTTTATAATATCACGTGACAGGACGAACAAGTCGTGCGCCTGATGGTTAGCAACACGCCTGTCCATAACAGGTGCAGTGCCACTCAGAGCTTTAAATCGCAAAGATCTGATGGGCACTGCTGCTGCGCCCGACACCCTGAGACATAAGTTGACAAGTCACATGTGCCTGTAATTTCACCAGCACCCTTACCTTTCAAAACCAGAACATTGTAATATTAACATTAGTGCCTGGCGGCAGAAATAGGTAAGGTGGCAGTACTTCCTTGGACGAACTCTACTGCTGCTAAAATCATTTCAAGGATCATTTTCAAGAGATGTACGTGGACACAAGTACGTTGAATAACAAACTATACAGATGTGCTGCAGAGTATCACTATTTGCATCACGATTGTTGACTTATACTTTCGCAAATTCAACAATATTGCAAAACATCTAAAGCCGCGTAGTAACGTATTGACGGCACCAATGTAATATGGTTCTTCTGTAGCTATATTGACACAGTTCTTTGTTTTTTCACAGATGAATTCAGAAGTAAAGTGGGTTGCGAGAATGATGTCCTTCATCTCAGTTGCAACCCTCACTCAAGAGTGGCGATTTATTCAGCTCAGTATGGAAGAACTGAGTACGATTCTATACAATGTCCACAGCCCCGGGGTATGAAGGAGGAAAGTAAGTAACGGATAACAATTTATTTTTAGCCTGTACGTACATATTGACTCTTTGGTTACAATTTGTTATTATTTGTCTTCATATTTCTTGTTATTGTCCTTGTTATTTGCTTATACATAAGTAATTTAAAGTGCGTACTCAATGATAGAGCGATGGGATCTTTAAGAAGAGACATATTTTTTATTATACATATATCATATTTTTTACTTAGATTATTGGAAATTTGGACATGAATATAGATAAGTACCTATATAAACTAACTTGTACGTATTACAATGAATAACGTTGTAGCACTGATAATAAAGTTTGTCTTGGAATGCAATCGCCAACAAACCTTACGCCAGAATAAATAGGTTTTCTCACCATCAAATAAATCACAGCTAAGCTTAGACAAAGAAATCGTCAAGGTTACAGAAGGGTTATAGATTCTAGTAGGTATACAATGTCATACACCTTAAGCGGTACTTCACACTAAAACGTTTCGTATCTTTTTGATAACGTCACGTACAATTATGCGACATGCAAATAGTTGTCGTTTGCGAGATCACTTTATTGTGAGAATCTTTATAACGTCATACTTTATTGGATATATTTCTCTCCTTTAGACATATTTGTGCTTTCCGTCCATTGTCAGATCCAAATATTAAATTACTCTAATGTTTATACTTGTTTTCGCTAATTTACTATCTGATTTTCTCTAAAATCATTCATTACAATTTATAATCGTTTTTACGAGTTCACCCTTTTATAAAGTTCTTATATTGAATGCCCGGTTTGCAAAGTATTTTAGAAAACTTTCTTTATCTAAACAATATATCCTGCCGGCTTTGCTCACTACCTAGAGAGCAACACATCGATTAGTCACAATCGTTTTTTGTACTCGCATAATACGGCTACATGTTTCGTGATCCATCATTCACAAAGTCTCCAAGTTATAAGGTTGAAACCCGGCAACAATACCGGGAAATAATTTTAGCGAAGCTGCTTACAATGTTACCGTCGATTGCCCCGAAGCAAACTTAATTTATTACATAAACGACGCTGTAATTTAAACGTTTGTCTTGGGTAAGCAACATTTATTTTTTTACATTATGTTTTATGTATATGTAGGATGGGGTTAGGATTTAAGTTAGTCGCCGCATGACCGTTTTTTATGGGAGTGGACAATAGGCTACGTACTGCGGAAGTCATGAAAAGTATTGCGCAATGCACGCATTACCTATACTTTCTTATGTCGCATGTAAAATATATACCCTATGGCTACATTTTAGTATTAATAACGCACCCTTAATACGCAGCGTTTGTTTCACTCTGAATACGCGTATTGCCTCCAAATCTTCCTTTCTCATGTTGTTTTTAACTAGACAATCCTCAACGTTACAAATTGAAGCTTAATAAAAATTCATTCAATAAAATAATTTGTAAAACTTAAGGTAGCGTAAATTGGAATATTTTCTTTGTAAAATTAAAAATAAGGTATTTAGTTAATAACTATTGTAAGTATAATGAAAAAATAGGGTGGTTTGCATCAATATTAGACATAACTGGTTGAAGACTGTACCACCTCAGTCAACCGTGACTATGGGACCTGTAAAGGGCCCGAAACGTTGGTTTGTTTGAATAAACAAATATACGCGATTTAAATCCGGAAAAATAGTTTCATTTCCTATGTGTAACAATCGTGAAAACCTAAGAACTTATTTTTTTTCTCAAAACAGAAAAACATCAGAATCAGACGAAAACATAACTTACTTCACGTAACCCCTGAGTATCATATGTGTGATATAAACATCATATATAACAAATGTACTATTAGTGATACAGACCCTTTATTGTGTGTTATTTAACGTGATACTAACTAAATACACTGCGTCGCGAATACATTACACAAATGCATCTTCGGTGTGGAGTACATCTCAGAGAACAATTTCATGAGTGCGCTTGGCTGTAATGATGTTTGATCCTATTTTAGATAAAATGATCAGCCAAAATCTGGCAGCATGTTAGAGATATTGGTACTAAGCATTCATAAATGTATATTATATCATCTATTCATAAATATCACTTCTTGTTTTTAAAAGATTACTTAAAGCGTATTTGTTGAATACTCAGCAAGCTCCAGTGTAGCGTTTGATGTGTCAAGGATGTAGGCATGTATTCCTAAATTTTGCTACTTCTAATGAAAAATCTAAATATCTGAATGTTAATTACTAACAATATTATTATTTACAACAACAATATTAGAGCGCCTTTTGAACGAATTCATCCAGGGAAGTACTGTCTTATTTATTTCTGCCGCCAAGCGATACACATGGTATATATGGTATATATATATGCGATTTAAAGATCTGAGTGGCACTACAGCTATTATGGATAGGCGTGTCGCTTACCATCAGGCAAACGACTTGTTCGTCCCGTCATTTAGTATGATAAAAAAATTGGAAAAACAATGGTGTAATAGTACATTTTACAATTGCACCATTATTTACAATTACATCAAATTGTACACGTCTGTTTCGTGTACTATGTTCCGTGTTAAGTGTTCTTTGTTGTCGGATCCACTGAAAAACAGCGTCGTAGCACTTGTAGTGAGACGACACCAAGCTGAGTGGATAACGGATTCCGTAACAGCAAAGCACGCTCACTTTATGGCTTATCACCTGATATGTACAAATATGTAGTTATACCTAGTTATTTCCTTCTAAATAATAAAAGATAACTTCTAAAAGCTACAATTATATCCATATCGTATTAAATCTGAACTTTTGATAAATAAAAATAACAAAAAAATTGACAATGTTGTTGGCATTCGTGAAAAAAGTAAAGTTATTTTTATGTGATATGGTCCAGCACAATATTATTTATTGTACTTTGAAAACAAAACTGGATTCGAAGACTCGGCTTACACTAAGTCTTTATTTACTTCTACTAGAAAGATTATAAAACGCTAGAACCAACTTTAAGCGTGTTACATAGAGTCTCGATTTATGAGAGAATGTAGAAAATACGTGCATCTTGCAACTTGAAAGATACTTTGTGATGATAACGTATGATATTCTACGTGTTCTTAACTTTAGTATATTTACTTTAGAAAAGTAATTTGTTTGAAACTGAAATAGATCAGAATGGCGAATTACAAAAGATAATGTTGCGCTATTAGGTATTTAGAAATTTTGTACCAGTAAGTATTGGTAATTAAGGTTTTGAAAACTATGAACAGAGTTTTTGGCAAAAGCCTAAGAAAACAACATGTTAGAACGTACTAACAACTTAATAAATATTAAAATAAAGCTAAAATTCGCTCCATACAAAGCAGTGTGCTCTAAAAAGTTACCATTTGTGAATCAAGTACTCTGTATGTAGTATTTAAAATATATATTGTACTCATATAAATTAAACTGTGAATAGCTGTATATATAATGTATAAAACAAAAATAAAACTCAATAAACCGAAACACGATACTTCTGTTGAAAGTGGTTGAGAAGTTGGGTAGCTCCGGTTACAGCAACAAATATAAAGTTTACCATATTATTTTAATGTATCGGATTTCCCATGGTATATCAAATTTCAAGACGATTAGACAAGGGGAAGTATACTAATTTACATAACTGCCTCCGTAGCTACACGCTGGACGGCCACGCAGAGGTCCCGGGTTCGATTCCCGGGCCGGGAGAAACATTTGTATGGCCTACATTTATTTCTCTCCTGAGTTCGGGGATAATTTGTGGTTGTCAATCTATGTGTGTGTCCATGGCACCCGCGATACAGAGTTTCCCTAGTACGGGGCTGTGAGTAAAATTAAAATGAAAACAATAAATTAAATTAAAAAAAAAATTATAAAAAAATGGCCTTAAAAGTTTATAGAATTACATCTATTTGCCAAATTTTATTGAAATTGGTTAACGGAAAGAGGGTGAAATGCAATAAATCGGATTAATCCCCTAACGCGCCATACTTCGAGGTGGAACATTTTCTTTTAATTTGAATGGGACCACTACTGAGGTACCCCTTTCCAACAAAAACAGAATCACCTAAATCTGTTCACAAATGTCGGAATAGTAGCGTAACATACACCAAAAAAATACAGTCGAATTCAGAACCTTCCATTTTCTTTCGGGTAATAAATATAATTAATTTCATGACTAAGATCCCATCACTACTTTACCTGAACAACTTGGTATTATACAAAAAACTGAACAGATATCAATTTCTTAGGTTTTAACTGTAATATAAATTATTATAATCATTTTTGCGTCAGGGTTAAACATAGGAAACAAGTAAAGTAATAAACTTTTTTAAATAAAAAATACAAGACATATACATTGAATTGTTTTAAATAATAAAATATCTTAATAAAACAAAGCAGTCTTCTTCACTACCGTCGTCATTTTAAGTAGCAGTAGAACTCCTTTTTAAATAGTTCGTTCAAGGAAGTACTGGCTGTGAAATCCTTGCGATGTAAAGCTTTGAGTGGCACTGCAACTGTTATGGATAGGCTCGTCGCTTACCACCAGGCGCACGACATGTTCGTCCCGACCCTTGGTATTTTAAAAAAATATTTAAACAGCTGAACAGATATCGAATTAAGTTTTATTGAATGTCAAGATGTTTCACCACAATGATATTCAATTATTATTTGTGAAATTACTCCGTTAGTTTTTTATACGTTATCAAACAAAGATCAAAGATCACATTATAAAAATAATAATTTCGATGCTGTTGGATTCGAATCAACGTCTCCCAGCAAACCCTGCCAAACGCTATGTCAACTAAGCCATGAAACGAACCAACGGAAACCACGAACTTTTCCATGTGCTTGTTGTACATCTTTGTTTTTGGTTTTTAACGACTTTTTAACCGTAGCGCCATCTATGAGAAATCTATGATGAGTGAGATATCGAGTTATTAGGTTTTCGCGATTGTTATACATAGGAAATGTGACTATCAGCTAGTCAGTAGTGACCGTGGGACCTGTAAAGGGACCGAAATGTTAGATAGT